TCTTACTTTATCCAATTGACTCCTAGTACTATCGAATCTTCATTGTGAAATTCCATACAACTTTTGAGCATTTGCACTTCAGTCCCCAAACTTTAGATCTTGCCTCTTTTTCGTCAATTTTGCATTCTTTTCTCCAATTCTTCATCATCCATCGAGTTTCACCTAATAACACATTATATTATAAATTAGGCTATAATTTCATTAAAAGAACCACAAAATGTCATAATTTGGAGCCCGGATAAGTGTATAAAATGCATTTATCATCTATCTTGTCAAACTTTAATTCATTAGTTATCATCTCAACAAGGTCCACGTATTTAAAAGAATATGGAACTAGAAGACCAAACGCATTTGAACCGTTCTTCAAAAATATATTCAATGAATGCATTTATGTCTGGAAAAACAAATCACAATCAAAGTTTCAGAGACTCATCTTATATCATTTGTTCATTGAACCCCATATTAATATTATCCAATGATAGACATCGAATAGTCACATACATAGTAAATAAAAAATGGGAACAATTCATATAGAATCATAAACCACCAAGGATTCGGGCTCAGTATTAACCAATCAACCACTACAATGTCAAGCTAAAATCATAAATCAATGCCAAATACTGGTTGCTTTCAGTGTTGCCCACAAAGGGCAAGGTATGGGATTTTATTATAGCCTTAAGATCAGCCACACAGGCTAAAGAAAGGAGAAGAAAACAAAGGCACTGAACCAGGGAAGCACGAAGCCAAGAAGAAAGAGACGGAAGGCGTTGTTTTCTCTCACACACAAAGGGATTAATTAAAATCAATTCCACACACGAGAAACAACAGTAATGGGCAGCCTATATGATTGAATAGTATGGGCTTTTAGGTTTAAAGATAATAAGGCGCAATAGGTAGCATGGGATGTCAACCAAAAAAGTCATCCAAGGTAATGGGTCAGGCCATGAGTAGCACTAATTAAATTAGGTTACTTCAAATAGCCCAAATAAGTTATGAGATTGCTTTAAATAATTGTGGTGTCGACATACTACTTAAGTCATCTGGTCAATGCCGACTGAATACATAATGAGCTTGCATTATTGCCCGACATTTCTTGGGTATCAAAAAACTCAACAAATCTCTACCTTGATACCCAATTAATCTGCAATTAATCAAAGCACACAGTTTATAATTGCATAATCAAGGTAACCAATAAAATTGGTATCATTGACCTTATCTCGTGTTTTGAACCCGAAACATATAACATCCATGCTTCATGTACTCACGGGGCTATACTGCATCTTACCAAAAGACATACAACACATTGCTAATGCATCACAAACCAATATGCATGTAAACAATTACACCAAGTAATAAGATCACTCCAATTCATGATAATGCACATATCAAACACATTGAAATGCAACATATAATCATGTAACGGAATTGAGAAATCACACACATGCAGAAAAGATTACACACGGATGCACATGCAGTAACTAGATTTACTGTTAATAAACCTCATTAGGGTCATCACTCAACCCTATAGCCACATTCGCCTCGCCTCTCATCTTACCATTTTGCTTATCATTTTCCTTCTTGGGACAATCTCTAATAAAGTGTCAAGTCTTACCACAACTGTAATACCGTCTACCATTAGACTCGTCACATCTCTTGTCCTTCTTCTTACCACCCTCATCACTCGAGTCACTACTAAAATCGCCATTGTCTTAAGCTTAAACTTCATTCTACTCGTCATCATATGCAACACACTACTTCTTTTATTCTCTTTTTCTGTTTTAATATTTATTTCCTTACTTCTAAGGGAATCTATAACAATCTCGAGTGTTAAAGTGTCCATACCATACTTAATTGCATTATTAACCTCTCTACATGAATCATGCATAGAATTCAGCAAAACAATGGCCTTATACTTATCAGACATTTTTTCATCACAATTAACGATATTTTGAACAAGTTTGTTGAAAATATCCAAAAGTAACGATATTTTGAACAAGTTTGTTGAAAATATCCAAATTGTCCTCTAGATCCTTTGAAGGATCCATTTTGAAGTTAAAAAATCTTTCGAGTAAGTACAACTTATTAGGAGTAGACTTAAGCAAATATAAGTCCTCCAACTTTTGTCAAAGTTTTTTAGTAGAATCAAGTTTTCGAACTTTTCTCAAAACGGTATCGATAGGTATAAAATAATTGAAGTGTAAGCAAATTCATCATATTCTTCTTTTTGTACTTCTGTTAAATTTATAGGAAATTTACCATCTATGGCATTTGAAACTTTTTTTTTGAACTAAAATCCCCTTCATCTTTTATTGTCAAATTGAAAAGTCAAATTTCTCATTGAAAATTCTAATTTCGAAATGTGAAAACATTTCGAAAAACAGCCAAAATGCACAAATAGGTCACATAGAGTAATCATAAGACAACAATATACACCGTTCTAGATTCTTAGGGTTTTGTAAGACTCGAGATCTCAGATCAAGTGAATGTTTAAATGGGTCAAGTATAGGTGTTCTAATGGAATAATCAATGCAACACGAAGGTATGTCAACAAAAAATTCAAAATTCTCACGCAATTAAAACACAGAAGTAATGAACAACTTGCAGTTAAATCCAACACTTCAAATAGGTCAAATAATTACACAAGCAATGGTTATCCCTTCACGGTAACCTCAATTCTGATGTCACACCACACGATGACGCACTAATACTGAAATTTAAATGAGATAGCCAATTTACCAGAGTGGACAAGTTCTATAGTTCGTAAAATAACTTTTCCTGCGTAACCTGAAATACGAAACCAATAATATTAGTACATTCAGGAAATCAAAATAAGTAAATTGCCTGAAGAGAGCTCGTCAAGATAAGTCGTCACGCGCCGCCCACGGGCCTCTATCGTCGGCGACCGTAACCACCATCAGCACCATTGCCTATTGCGCCTCACATGGGCTCAGATATTCTAGTCGGTCACTAGTTTGGCAGGAATCGGGAGATGCGGTTTCTACCCCTTTAAAGAACTCGCGAATTTCAACCACCTTTTTGTCGATTTCTGGCCGGAGAAACACAACGAGACTCTGATACCAAATGTTGAACAAGGATCTCAATCCACCAAGGATTCGGGCTCAGTATTATCAAATGAACCACCACAATGTCAAGCCTAAACCATAAACCAACGCCAAATACCGATTGCTTTCAAGTTGCCCATAAAGGGCAAGGTATAAGATTTTATTATAGCCTCAAGATCAGCCATGCAGGCTAAAGAAAGGAGAAGAAAACAAAGGCACTAAACTAGGGAAGCACGAAGCCAAGAAGAAAGGGATGGAAGACGTTGTTTTCTCTCACACACAAAGGGGCTAATTAAAATCAATTCCACACATGAGAAACAATAGTAATGGGCAACCTATACAATTGAATAGTATGGGCTTTTAGGTTAAAAGATAATAAGACCCAATAGGTAATGGGTCGGACCATAAGTAGCACTAATTAAATTATACTACTTTAAATTGCTCAAATAGGTTATGGGATTGGTTTAAACAATTGTGGTGTTGATATACTACTTCAATCATCTGATCCATGCCGACTGAATACATAATAAGTTTACATCATCGCTCGAGATTTATTGGGTATGAAAAAACCCAACAAATACATTTATGTCTGAAAAAAAAATCACAATCAAAGTTTTAGAGTCTCATCTTATATCATTTGTTCATTGAACCCCGTATTAATATTATCCAATGATAGACATCAATTGGTCACATACATAGTAAATAAAAAATGAGAACAATTCATATGGAATCATAAATTTAAAACACCGTTGTAATATGTATCTTACTTCTTGTTTGATTGATATAATTCACGTTGTCAAGATTACATAATTGTGTAAACTAAATTAAATTAATGTAATTATATTAGATTTGATTTTATATAATTGATGGAAGAAAAATACATCACACAAATGGATGAAAAATAAATTTTTTTCAAGAAATGAACAAATTATGAAGATTGAATCAAAAGGATTCAAAATTCAGCAACTTGATTAATTAATTATACATATGAACTAATATAATCAATTTCAATACATAACTTATATGTAATTTTTTTCAATTTCAAGATACGAGAAATCCCACAGATTTTGAAAATTGCATCAAAAGATTACTCACCAACACAATCAGAATAAAAATCTGCTTGAGAGATGCGGAGAATGAGACAACTGGGCATTCAGCTTCTAGTCCGGTGATAAATCGTATGATACCATCTTCAGTTTGAAATTCCTCTGATGGAGAAAGAGACATTAATTGCTAACGTAATGTATGCTTCTTCTTCTTCTCCCTCTCCTTTTTTTTTTTTTTTTTACAGTTACGAGAATTGAATTTGATTCTTATTTTAGACGGAAGTATATATAATTATATTTTACATAAAAGACAGTAGTTTAAATATATATTACATATTATAGTATTTTGTGAAATCTTATATTGTAATAAGGCAAATATGAATTTTTCCATATTTATTGATGTTATTATTAGTACTATAACGGATTGATAATTTATAACAGAATTTGTGACTAAGATTAAATATAGGTTCACCTGACTAATTTTATATTTGTGTATAAGGACAAAAATCATAGTCTAATTTTATTCAGTAACTACTAGAAACATGGGACGAATTTTTATAGACTAGCTTTTGTGGGGTAATGTTATCTGGGTCGGGCTTCTTTTTCCCGTCCTGGAGTGCCATCTTCATTTTTTTAAAAGAGAGCATGTTCTAGGAAAGTCACCAAATTATTAAACAAAATTCATGCTATTAAAAAATACACTATATTCATTTGTTCATGTGAAAGAACAGAAATTTCATAGCTCTCTCTCTCTCTCTCTCTCTAAAAATGTCTTATATATAAGTTCAATAAAGAAGCGAAATTTCATAATACCTTTTTACTTGTAAAACAATCTGCAGCAATAAATCATTATTTCCAAGAAACTATATTCTCTATATATAAGATGATTCAAATGAAGTTGCAGCCAAGATCGGTTGTATTACTGAAATGCATAATTCTGATTGCACGCTTGCTGCAGTTTGCATGGGATTACCTTCTTCTCCAATCCTTCTTTCAGCCTCAAGAAATTGAATCACCTGGCTATGCTGCTGAACTCACAGTAACTCGTTTTGAAAATGATACGAATGCAGAGTTTGGGGATTCATCAGTCGAGTGTGCTGTTTGTTTATGCAGAATTGACGAAGGAGCTGAGGTTAGAGAGCTGAGATGCAACCATCTTTATCACAGAGTTTGCTTAGATAAATGGGTACGACATGGGCGCGGGACTTGTCCACTCTGCCGGAATAACCTAAATCCTCCACCACGTAAAAGCGGACTGGATACTTGTTAACTTCCGCACCACCAGATCAACGTTACAGTGAGTCTAGTCAAGGCGGATCCAAGAAGGACGTTCAGTGGTGGCGAAACCAAAAATCCTTCGAAAACAAATCTGAAAACCTCAAAAAACCTGAATAAAAAAAATAAAAAAATCTGAAAATCTAAAGAAAAATCAGGAAATCTGAAAATTGAGTGGGGTGGCGGCCCCCACTGGGCCTCATGTAGGTCCGCCCCTGAGTCTAGTACTCGACACGACAGTGACATACTGTTAACGTTGTTTGTAATATTAGTGACGATATATTATGTTGATACATTTTTACCGAATGAAACAAAAATCTGGCTTTAATCCAAGTCTGATTCGGTCAGAAATATTAATAAAATAATTCCACATTAGAGTTTTTGCTCTTTTGGATTATTCTTATTTACTAATGATTCTAGGGGTTATCCACAGGGACAGGGCTAAACGTAGATTATATATATAATCTGAGCTCCATAAAGAATATCATCTTGTTTAATATTTTATATTTAAATCGTAGTCCGTTGAATTTTTCCCACTAAAAGGTTAGACGGTTGAGTTGCCTTACTAATGGTGAAATGGATTATATTCATCTATTGAAGATTATTTTGTTACTAACTTGAAGAGTCGAGACCAACTTATTACAACTCGAGTAGAAGACTAACATTGCAAAAAAAAATTATGCATTCTTATACATTTGTTATAACGATCTCTTCTATGCACGAGGGCATTAATTTGATAGTCCTTTCATTGTAAATTCGATTTTGGACTTTAAAAAAAATATTATGTAAATGAAATAACAAAAATAAGACAATGTATCTTTTTCCCTTTTTCGGGAAACAACATTGCATATTCAAATAAAATGACATCCTATAGGTAAGCAAGAGACATACAATATCTTTACCCACGTATTAAACTTATTGTACAACGCAATAATAGAGACTTCACCTTAATTACTCTCCAATTATACTAGGGAAATTAGGGGTAAGAGGCAAAATCATGGCCTTCTGTGTACATTGATGCTGAATTCACAAGCTTACACTATACTATAGGTACACAAGATAACAGCCCATATTACAACACAAATCTGATAGCAGCTTATCTATTCTAAACATCTAATAAGTCCTCTATTCAAATCTTTAAAATCATATGCACTCAGAATCTTGAAACACCTCTCTATGTAGCCAATGCTAGCAAACCAGTCGGCTACCTTGTTGCCCTCCCTCCAAATGTGGAATATCTACATTTCCATTTGTTATGTTTGTGACTCAAATTTTATGTAATTTAAAATTTTGATTCATGAAGGTAGCCTAGATAATGTTGGTTTGGAAGTCCGGTTTGATAAGTGATCAAATTTCTTAGTGGATCGAGAATTTGAATGGTAAAAGAATTTTGGAATGGATGGGAAGTGTTTTGGAAATATAAGGAGAGTACCAGGGGTACCATAGTACTTGCCACCACAAAGGGTGAACATGGGCTGGATGCCGCGGCACTAGCCCTGGGGCATCGCAGCTCCCAGCAAGAAGCAAGGTCGGTGCCTTAGGGTCAGCCCCAGGGCTCCTCAATTCGAAAAAGACTCATTGTTGATTTCTACCTCACTTTTGTGCTGGCCTTCATCCAAAACTCCAAGATTGGTCTCCTATATACTCTACGTGGTGTAGACTCTTAAAAGACTCAATATAATAATTAGATAATTGTTGTATGTATTAGAAAATTGTTTAAATTTAAATTGAGAGTATCAAATCTTGTAAAACAATTTTAGTTTTTTGATATAATAAATTTTTCTCTTCTTCCACAAAATCTTGTGTGATTCATTATTTTTCATATTTCTCATTATATTCTTATCTTTAATGATTTGGCCAAGTTTTCAACAATTTGTATCGGAGCAATTCTGATATCTTATTTGTTTCTAACAAGTGGTAATAGAGCCAAGATTTTTTTGCGGTTCTTGGGATGTCTAAATTGGTTACTAAAGCGATATTTGAACAATGTTGATTATTTTAAGGATGACAAATATGAAATTTGAGATTTCGCTTTTGAATCGTAACTGTAGATTTTCTTTGTGGCAAATCAAGACACTAGCGGTTCTTGATCAATTAGATCTTAATGATGCTTTGTTAGGGATGGATAGAATGCCCACAACAATGATTGAGAAGGAGAAGCAACACAAGGATCGAAAAATCTTATCATAGATACATATTCGTCTTTCTAATCAAATTCTTTAGAACATGGTAAATGAGAAAAGCGATGTTGGATTGTGGTTGAAATTGTAGCAACTTTGTATGACATAGGACTTGGCGAGTAAGTTATACTTGAAGTAGCGTTTATATTCTCAACACTGACAAAATATGGATATTTAAAAGATCATCTATCGGGGTTCAAGGAAATCGCCGCTGATTTAATGACCAAGGAGGTCAAGTACGATGAAGAGGATTTAGGACTCATTTTGTTATATCTGTTTGCCGCCTTCATATGTGACTTTTAGCAATACCATTCCTATAGTCGGGACACTTTTATTACTGACGAGGTATATAATGGGCTTTATTCCAAGGAGAAAATGAAGCATGTGGTCGTAGGATATGAGGTCCAAGCAGATGGTCTTGTTATTCGTGAGAGAATGACAAGTGGTCAAGAAAGCGGCAGAGACAAGGAAGCAATAGTGATAAAGTTTGTTTGTATTGCAATAACAAGGAACGCATGAAAAATGATTCTATGAGTGGCATAACATGTTTGCTACTACAGATCAGAAGGAATAACTAGAAAATTTCGGTAATGTCAATCTTGTAGAAGAAGAGAATGATTGAGATCTTTCGGTAATTATTGACGGTGACTCTAAATTTGACGAGGATTGGATTCTTGATTCGACTTGCACTTTTCATGTGTTCAAATCGGAATTGCCTTTCTTCATATGAAACAATTACGAGGGGTTCCATGATGATAGGAAATAATGAGTCTTGTAAAATAGTTGGGATTTGTATTGTCAAAATCAAGATGTTTAGTGCGACGGTTAGAACATTTGGCCAAATTCGACATGTTCCAGGTATAAATAGGAATTTAATCTCGTTGAGTACTCTTAATTCCAAAGGGTATAGATATACCGATGAAGGTAGAATTCTAAAAGTTAGCAAGAATGCCCAAGTTGTGTTAATAGATGTGAGGTTCACCTACCTTATTAATTAATGGTAAAATTAATTAACTTATTATGAACTAATTTGCTGCAAACTTGAAAATCAAGGACCCACTTATTACAACTCGAGTAGAAAACTAGCTCTGCAATTTTCTTGTATAAACATATTATTATATTTTGTGTTAAAGCTCTCTTCAATTGTCTTCTTTGAGCATATATGTCATGGTGACAGGTAGAAGAAGATAAAGGGCTATTCGTCGTGCCACAGTTGTCAATTCTTTTTTTCCAACCATTTTGATCAGATTTCAATGCCCCTATTTCATTAGGATTCAAAAATTTAAATAATTTCGTATTAATGTTATGATTCAACCTATCCTTACTATGAATTATTTAACATAGTCTCTCATAATGATGAATTTGATAAGTTTGGATGTAGCGTAGTAGATTAAATTCTGAAACATTATATTATTCCGCTATATATATGAGAGCCTCTATTGAAGGTTTGTTAACGATCTTGATTTGAGTGTATAATCTTTGTTCAATTATGTTAATTGTACATTCAAAGTGTACATTAAGGTAGACACTGTGTGTTGTGTCAAAATTTGTGTCACTGATTATTTAAACTATTGTTAAAAATTAATGTATAAAAAGTTGTCGTCTTACAGCAATGTCAAACTTAATATACATGTAGCAATATTGAACATTTGTTTAGATCTCTACATACTTGAAAATAATTATACCATCTATTTGATGATTTCAAGTCATATTCCATCTAGAAGATCTTACCAAAAAAAGAATGCAATCGAGTAATACAAATTGCACAACCCTACTATAGGGAATTCATGGACCATGCTACAATCCATGTAACCAAACAGAAGTAACAATAGTAAGACTAGAAACGAAACAACTAATATCTAGGAAACCAGCCTTTATCCGGGCAACCAAACATTAAAATTGACCAGATCTACTCACCGACCCCCGTTGTGCAGACTGATGGGCGTACGTTTGCACAGATCTAGCGCATACTATGTGATTGCCGTAAAAGTAGCCCGACCAATTTTATTTCTTTTTTGTTGTGGCGTTCTCTTCGTTGATTTCAATTTTCAATTCTTCAATTAATATATTAGAAACCCCAAAATGCAAGATGAAAAATTATAAAAATCTTAAAAGTCCCAATTTTGGGCTAACTGCCTTGTATATAATTGAAACAAAAAAATTAAATTAAGATGATTAATTCATAATCCACTTGCGTCGTTACATACTTGAAATAATGAATAACAATCAACAACCATGAAAATAAATAATTGGATTATAGTTTAAAATAATTATAACCATTCGATCATTATATAAACAATTAATCCTAGATATCACTTAACTAGACACTAAATCAAAGATTCAGAAATGTTTTACAGAGAATTGATTTTCTTAGAAAATGTTTTACTAGGAATTGTAATTAATTGTGTTTGATTTGTATAATTTTCCATGGAAAATGTTGAAAATTTGGTGTCCATTTGACTTCGTTTTTTATGGAATTTGTCCATTAAAATGATAATTTTTTCTACTAAAGACACTAAGGGTCCGTTTGATTGCAAGGGTGGAAAATGGGTGGAAAGAAAATGTTTTACAGGGAATTGATTTTCTTAGAAAATGTTTTACTAGGAATTGTAATTAATTGTGTTTGATTTGTATAATTTTCCATGAAAAATGTTGAAAATTTGGTGTCTATTTGACTTTACAGTAATTTCAATTGAGTCAAAGACTTTATATATAGAGCTACCACAAAACATGCTGAGATATATGCGCCCCAATAATTATAAGAACTTGCATAATTGTCCTTAGATGCTTTTACAATATACTACTTGCAATTAAA